AAAGAATAGGAAGAAACCGTTTATCGCTTTCTTTCTCAAATTTTGAAAATGCAAATGCATTTTTAAATAATAGTAACTTAGAGACACATAATTTTAAGGCATTTATACCTTCTTTCCATGTAACCCGTATGGGAATTGTGAGGGGTATTCCTAAAGATTGGACAGAAGAGGAAGTAATCCAAAATATATCAGTACCGATAGGTTGTGGGAAAATTCTAAAAACCAGAAGAATAAAGAAAAAGACAATTAATGAAGGACAACCAAGTTTTATTAATACTGAAACCATTGTTATCACTTTTGATGGACAAATATTGCCAAAAAGAGTATTTATGTTTTACACATCATTAACTGTAGATTTGTACATTTACCCTACTATCCAATGCTATAACTGCTGTAGGTTCGGACATGTCAAGATGCAGTGTCGTTCAAATCCTCGGTGTTATAAATGCAGGCAAAATCATACAGGTGATAAATGTGAAGTAGATGAGGAAAATGTTTCTTGTATCTTGTGTAATGGTTCTCATTCAGCAATTAGTAAAAAATGTCCTGAATATGCATGTCAGAAAGCCATTAAAGAAACAATGGCCCATAGTTGTGTTTCTTATGCTGAAGCATCAAAATTTCATCCTCCAACTTCTAAACTATATTCAGATGTATTAACATCATCATCTCCTTCCAATAAATCTCATTTTCAATCTTCTTTTCTTAAAGAGAAATCATCATTACCACATATACAATCATCATATAAAAAAACAGTTACACTTAAACCACACTCTCCTCAAAAAATACAACAAGGATATGATCGTTCTGCCCATGAAGCCATAGTTAAGGAATATAATATTCCTGCACCCTCTAATGGTTGTGCATTATCATCAAATAATATTGACAATAATCAATCCATCATTGATATTATTCTCATGCTTATTAAAGTGTTATCGCAATCAAAAATGATACAAACAACTTTACCACCGTCCAACGATGCCATGTACAATGTATTTTCTCAATTATTAACTTCTCACAATGGATTACAAAGTCCAAATAATTCAGTGGAACTGTCGTAGCATAACAAATAAGAAATCAGACTTATTTTATTTGATTAATAAATATAATCCTTTTATAATAGCTCTACAAGAGACTTGGTTAAAGCCAGGATATCCTTTTAGGATTTCAGGCTTTACAAGTCTCCGTGATGATAGAGCTGACGGATATGGCGATGTTGCCATATTGGTCAAAAACTCCCTTCTTTTTTCTTCTTTTTCACTTCCTGTATATAGCGGCATTAATGCAGCTGCTATAATTATAAATGGTATCTGTTTTGTTACTTTATATATTCCTGATCCTACATGCCAAATATATTCACAACTAGAACAATTATTTTCAATTTTACCTAAACCTTTTCTCGTAATGGGCGATTTTAATGCTCAGCACCAATCGTGGGGCAGTTCTACTTCTAATTTTTATGGTGGAAAACTCCTGACGATAATTGACACTTACAACTTATGTATTATTAACTCAGATGTACCGACACGTAGAACTGCACCAAATGAAGGGTTTAGTGCTCCTGATATTTCAATATGTTCTTCTGATTTAGCTTCTTCACTGTCGTGGTATCCTCATTCCTCTACCTTCGGAAGCGATCACTTTCCCCTCATTCTTTCTTTTCCAATTTCCATTCCCTCAAGTCGAAAGAGTGGTCCTCGACTTAAATATAATTTATCAAATGTAGACTGGAATATTTACAAACAATATTTAGATAATAAAATATCGGAGTTACCTATTGTTTATCATGGAAATGAACATCAATGTTGTAATGACTTGATAATTAATATGAAGGAGGTTGCTGATTTATTATTTCCTGTTAAAAATAGTGCTTCAGGGAAAATTCCCTCCCCACCTTGGTGGGACAAAGATTGTACGGAAGCAATTAAAAATCGTAAAGAGGCTGAAAAAAATTATAATAATTACATGACATCAGAAAATTTTGAAATTTACACCGCAGTTTCACGTTCTACTCGAAAACTACTGAAAAAAAAGAAATTGGAAGGTTGGAGAAGATTTTGTTCTTCTATCTGTCCAGAAGTTAATTCATCTGTCGTTTGGAATAATATTAAAAGATTCAGATCTGCCTTTAGTGATCATACATCACGTTCTGCACTCGATTTAACTTTAGCAAATAAATTTTTAGATCGCCTTGCTCCTAGTTATGTGCCGGAATGCCTTTACAATATTTCTCTATCTGTCTCTGACGAATTATCCGAACTTGAGTCTCCTTTTACTCTTGTAGAACTTAAAGGTGTTCTAGCTTGTATTAAAGACTCTGCACCGGGAGAAGACGGTATACCGTATTCCTTTTTTAAAAATGCTAGCGATGCGACATTAATTTACTTTTTAAATATAATTAATTCCATAATTATTTCGGGAAATATACCTACTTCATGGAAGTCTCAGATTATTATACCATTTCTAAAGCCTCATAAACCACCTTCTGAACCATCTTCATACCGTCCTGTTGCACTTTCCTCTGTCTTACTAAAGCTAGCTGAACATTTAGTGAAGAACCGTCTAGAATGGTTTTTAGAAAGTAATAACTTACTATCCCCGAACCAGTTTGGTTTTAGAAAAGGTAAGAGCACCTTAGATAATGTGAGCATTCTTATTTCAGATATTCATATAGCTTTCTCACAAAATTTGTCAATCCTCTCAGCCTTTTTAGATATAAATTCTGCCTATGATAATGTAATAATTTCTATTTTAAAAACTAAATTACAAGCTTTAAATGTACCGGTAATGCTTTCTAATTTCATTATTAATATTTTATCAGAAAGAACAATACATATGGATCTAGATGAAGATACCAAATTATCTAGAACAGTATGGAAAGGCCTTCCACAAGGATCTGTTCTCAGTCCAATTTTATTCAACATATACACATACGATCTAGAATCATTCCTTGATAAATCCGTCAAAATTTTACAATATGCTGATGATCTCTTATTATATTTTATTGCGAAGTCCATAGAATCTGCTTCTGCCAAATTATCTGATTCATTAGATTTGTTAAAAACGTGGTTAGATGCAAATGGTCTTAATCTTTCTGTAACTAAGAGTAGTGTAGTTTTGTTTTCAAGAATGAGATCACCGCAACAAATTAAGGTGCTTTATGATAACTCATACATTCCTATAAAGACTGAAATTAAATTTTTAGGTATCGTGCTAGATAATAAATTAACAGGTCTGTCCCACTGTAATTATATTTCCACGAAATGTGAGCGTAACCTCAACATTCTTAGGTGCCTCGCTGGAGTTTGGTGGGGAGCACATCCCGTTTCACTAAAACTTGCTTATAATGGTCTTATAAGGAGTGTCATTGATTATGGAACTTTTTTGTTAGCTCCAGGAAGTTCATTTGCTTTTAAGAAATTGGATTTAATTCAATCAAAGGCCTTGAGGATTATCTCTGGAGCAATGAAATCAAGTCCAATCAATGCTTTACAGCTCGAAGTCGGTGATCCACCTTTGGTTTTAAGAAGGCAATATTTATCTGATCGCTTTTTTTTTCGTTGTTTACAATTATCTGATCATCCGCTTATTCAAAAGTTATCTCAACTATATATCTTTATTTCGTCTTCATCTTATTGGAAACATAAAAAACCTCCATGTTTAATACAAAGTTATGAAAAATATAAATCCATAGAATCTCCCACTTTTACATCGTCCTATTTTCCCATTTATAAATGCTCATATCAATCTTTAGTTTTATCTCCTAATATTAAATATGATTTTGGGTTATCAAAAAATGATTCAGAATTGAATGCCAAATTTATGTTTATAACTGACATTGAATGGAATGAATGGCACTACATCTTTACTGATGCATCAAAACCAGACAATAGCGGTTGTGTAGGTGTGGGTGTGTTTCATTCACAATTTAATATCGTTCAAAAAATTAAACTTCCACCGGAATCTTCAGTTTTTACCGGGGAATGCTATGGTATTTTAAAAGCTGTAGAATATATACTTTTAATGAAATTACATAAGGCAATAGTTTTCACTGACTCTATGAGCTCTTTGCAAGCTCTAGCCAAATATCCGTTTAAATCAAAACCAGTTTATCCCATTATTTGTGACATAAGACAAAGTCTTTATCTTTGCATGTTGAGAGGGTATTCCGTTTCTTTTGCCTGGTTACCAGGACACAGTGGTATTAGCGGCAATGACAAAGCTGACCTTATTGCAAGAGAGGCTGTAACTTGTGGTGATATGTATCCGTATCATAATTACTGTAGTGACCTAGCTTGTCTCCCAAAAATATATTTAAGGTATGCCTGGAAGGAATATTGGGAAAAAACAAGTACAATAAAAGGAAGATTTTATCGCCTTATACAACCCGATATTCCTTTCAAACCATGGTTTTGTAAATTAAAGCTTGGAAAGACCGCAACAACTATTATAACTCGTATGCGTCTAGGTCACGTATGCACACCTTCTCATTTATACAAGCTTGGTATTGTACAAAGTTCGTCGTGTAATTGCGGTGCTGAAGTGGCGGACTTGAATCATATATTCTTCTCATGTTCTAAATTTGACCACACCTCCCTTTTTAATCATCTCCGATCCATCCGTGTTCCATTCCCAACTTCTATTCTTACTCTACTTTCTTCCAATGATCCTATTATCTATAAAATACTATCTTCATATATATATGATAACAATATTAAGATTTAGTTATATTACATGAATACATTTATAGTTGCATCAATTGCTTTTCCTATATATTTATAAGTATATTCTCATATGTACAAGTATATCCTTCATATCCTATAAATATCCTAGACCTAATCCTTATCCTTTCTAAATTCGTTTGTGTTAGGTTTTTTTATTACTATTATCGTTTCCCCGTTTTGTTCTTGGCAAAATACCCTAATATCGGGGTGAACGCCACAAAAGAAGAAGAAAAAAAAAAAAAAAAACCCAGCTGTCATTCAATCAGTTTACAATCAGTCAAAATGGTAGTATTGAACCTGTAGGATCTAGTGTTATTTTTTTATTTGATTTCGAATTATGCAATAATATAATTTAGTATTTCTATAATCAACTATGTTTAGTTATTGATTTAATAAATTTCATATGCTTTTACTAGTTTAATATTCCGAGTTTAATATATAAATATTTGTATCTATTTTTTTTTGTAATTTTTTAAATTTCTTTCGTGTTCACTTAAATTTTTATCATCATGAGTCTATTTAAAGCTTCTATTATTGGAGCTAAAACCATAAATCTTATTCTATACACGAAATCTGAAAAATGTGGCATGCTGATTCGTAGAGGATTTTCAACGCGCGAATTGTTGAAAGAAGCATATTGCCGCACGAAACTTAAATGTAGATGTAAGTAAATTCTTAATTATTAAATTACTGAAAGCAATGAAATAATAAAATCGTTTATCACCTAAAATTGTTTTTACACAGCCAAGAAATTGCCTCGAGATGTGAACCCCAAAGGTGTATTTGCTTGCAATGAATTGGATCTTTCTGAAGTCAAAGTATATGGATTCGATTACGATTACACATTGGCACATTATAAACCTACTTTGGAGCATCTTCTCTATAATCTTGGTAGAGACATATTATTAGAAAAATATAATGTAAGTATTTATTTAGAGTTAAAATTTAATTCTCATTAACTCTGAAAACACTTCTGACAAATATATAAACTTATTTTTATGTTATATTATTAACATTAAAATTAATCGTAATTTAATTCAGAAAATTTGTTTTATATTAAATTTAAAACTCCAAGTAGCTTTGTAAAAATATATATTTTTATGTACTTATATATGTATTGTTATGTTTCAGTACCCTCCAGAAATACTGAAGCTAGAATATAGACCTAATTTTGCAGTGAGGGGTCTTCATTATGACATTGAAAAGGGCCTTCTTCTAAAATTAGATTCTTTTCTTCAAATTCAATTTGGTGCTGTTTATCGTGGCCTCACACCTGTCTCCACAGAGGAAGTACTCAAAATGTACAAAAACAGGATTATACCAATTGCCTATGTAGAAGGGGATACGAGGACACATAAGGTCAATCTTATTAATATTTTACTACCATAACAAGAACTAATTTTATATATTTTTTCCATTTAGTACATTATATTCCATACACATTTATCTCTATAAAAATAATTCAATTGCTGTGTCAGTGAATTATATATATAGTTCCATCTCATAATTATAATATTATAGTATATTATAATTATGAGATGGAACTATCACATTTGTTAATAAGGGTAAGAACAAAATCAATGTAGCTACATAATGAACATTGGTAATCTTGTTACTTTTTTTAAATACCTACATGATCTACTTATATAACATATGATAGCATAAAATTTGTTTGCACTGATAAAACTAAACATACGAGGTCTGTCCGGAAAGTTCGTATAAAAGTGTTCTGGAATGCGAGAAAGAGGAGTGGGGAGGCCAGGTAAGCGCAGGACCCCTTCCTTATGTCCCTAACAATGCTTCAGTTCTGGTCTGACCGCCGTGCGGTGCGAACTGGCTTGTCACGCCATCTGTGAAGTTACCTCTTAACGAAACCCCGTCGGCATGGAGCCCGCTTCCGTTGAAGAGCAGCGCGTCGTAATCAAGTTTCTCTCGAAACTCGGCAAGAATGGCCGTGAAAGCAAAGAGTGGAAGACATCCGGGGAACCACGAACAAAAAAATCAAGAAAATCCCGCTCAAATGTCAAGACAATGTTGATTGTTTTTTTCGATGTTCGGGGGATTGTCCATCAAGAATTCGTCCCTCCAGGCCAGACAGTTGATGGAAAATTCTACGTCGATGTGCTCAGACGCCTCAAAGCTCGTGTGGCACGAGTTCGTCCAGAATTGGCGCGAGAGGGGCGTTGGATTCTTCACCACGACAATGCCCCTGCCCACACCTCTCTTGTTGTCCGTGAGTTTTTGAGTAAAAATTCCATTACGGTGACCGAACACCCCCCTATTCGCCGGATTTGGCCCCGTGTGACTTCTTCTTGTTCCCAAAAACCAAATTGGTACTTCGGGGGCGGCATTTGGGGGACATAAATGAGATAAAAAAAGCTACGACGGGGCAGCTGAGAAACCTACAACCAGAGGACTTTCAAGGAGCCTTCTCACAGTGGAAACGGCGTTGGCACAAGTGCATTATGTCACAGGGGGAGTACTTTGAAGGGGATAAAATTGATTTACCTGAATAATTGTAAAATAAAATTTTTAAAAAACTTTTATACGTACTTTCCGGACAAACCTCGTATTGAGGCTCTAGGTACTAACTAGTATCAGTCAATGCTCAAATCTATAATGTATTGGACAATGTAGAAAATTATTATAATCATCTGTATTTTTGGGCAATATAAATGGGATATGTTGGAGGGAAAGGGATTGTTAGTAATGGGGTCTAATTGACCCATTGCTAGAAATATATCCTATTAGGTCGAACTCCATGTGGTTCCCCCTGGAAACTATCATGGTTAATTCTAGTGGAATTCATCACGATAGGCTGACTGACCTGCTTTCATTCTCACCTGTCATCCTTCACTGGTGCCCCGCCAGCATATTCCGATAGCGCAGGCGGAGTTACCACTTCATTATCACCCATTAAGTGGGATATGTATAAACAATAACTTCTTATTTGGGATAAGTTACAAAGAGTAAAATAAAGTAAATTGGTGAATGATGAAGTTACCCATAGTTACTGTTATATTATTATCTGCTAAATTGTGAAAAGATTGGAGATTGAAACTTATCATAGTAATTTAGTATATTCTACTCCTTTAACTGCTAATGCTAATAGACCTACAGATGACTATTTAATCTGCTTTATTATATAGATATAATTTACGCTATACATCACATAACACAGCTACAACATTGATAGTCATTGTTATCTATCTAAAATTCATTATTTATTACAGAAAATGATAATACTTTTTTTAATAATTGGCATAAAATTATAAAACTTTATATCAATCATATTTTTAGAAATAGCTAATTACAATACAGCTAAAACCTTATTTATTGAACATTATGTTAAGATTAAACAATTGTTTAATTTATTTACATATAAATTACTACTTATGTACATAATTATAATTCATATTGGGGTAGTCAGAGGTATTTCACGATTGTTGCCATTGTGGTGAATGCGACAATTGATATGTCCAAATTGCATTAATCAAGGAGCCTACTATAAACGCTTGCGTTAATTTATTTTGTTACCGGCTTTTCTATCGCCAAAATGTTAGTCGGAAAATTAAAGAGAAAGTATATTTAACAGCAAATCATTCATGTGATTGTATGGCAGTCACTATTATTGCGATTAACAAAGTTAAATTCACGCGGAAATGTCATACATACCTTATTAATATAATAAAATTTGTAACTAGGTGATATCTGTACATGGAAAATATTTAAGAAAAATTAATATGAGGAGTCTTAATAAGATTAATAGATATCAAAACAACAAATTTTAGAAATTTTGTCTGTCTGTGCGTTTGTTTTGGCATCATGCAAAACTAACTTAAAATCTGGTGTGCGTTTTATCTCGATACACCATTTAAGTGGTCTGTTTCATTGATTTTCCTACTTCTGTAATCTACGCTTACGAGGTAGCGGGCAGCAATAAGCTAATCTAGGGCGGCCCCTACCGACAGCATCATTCATTCTTGCTCGATAAATCTTTTTCGTAATTCTTCTTTTATCCATCCTCTCCAAATGGTTAAACCAACGCAATATTCCTTTTTCGTCTTTTGTCACTACATCGTCTTTCAGTCCACACTTCTCTCTAATTACACTGTTACTTACTGTATCATTTAATATAATACATAATAAATAACAAACTGCAAAAACAAAATTGATAAGATTACATATATTGATAAGGACGAATATTTTGTATTCTATAAATCCACCAAAACATATACAGTGGGTTCATCTTTCCGATGATATTATGCGCCCCCGGAAAGCACAGTTGTCAATATTATATCCCATATCCTCCCACATACTGACATCCTATCCCTTCCCCTAAACTACTTAAAAATCCTTTCAAAAATTCCAGTCTGCCACCCCTTATATATATATATTTAATGTCTAAAATTTGATAACTGAAAAGTAGTATCGCTGGTTATTTTATTTATCTACTGTTTTAGCTGTTTGCACAGATATTTATCTGTGTATCTAGAGGCGTCATTACTAGAATGAAGATAACCCCTACAGTAACGTAAAAACTTACAATAAATTGAATAGGAAAACTATTTTTATTCATAAAAGTATTCCTGACATAAGCTAAAGTTTGTTATATCTATAACCAAATTTTAGCCTAGGCTGCTAATCTACATCATAATCTATAGTGTCTCGGAGCAAAATCATGTCAGTACCCGCACCTGACGACGACAAAAATTGAGAATCCACAACTGTTCACTCCAAGTCGAACTGGATACATTCCTTTATCAGGAGCGTTCGTAACTTTCATAAACGATTTTCAAACAATTTTCATAAATGATTTAATAATTTCCAATTTCTTTGGCTGATGATTTAAAAAGATCTCTGCAAGCGGATTAAAAGGTCAATTCAACAATATTGCGACGTTGCACTTCGGCGAGTTAAAGTTGTGAACCCTCTTAATCTTATGATATCTCTGTTATATCTCGGCACTTCTTTTGGACTGAAAAATACTTGCCTAAGTTTCTTATCTCAGAATTTTTTTTCTCTTAATTACATGTTACGAGTATGTACGCTATTATTGTAGTATATATAATAATATATTAATGCCTACCTAGCTGTGTAATTTAAGCAAACACAAATTTTCATATGCAATTTAAGAATATAAGAAAATATTTTAGGAAATTCCATTGGCAACAAAATAACGTGATCCGTGAAAGTAATGCCGCGGCGTTACCTTCTAGTTTAATCATAATATACCATAGAGTTGGTTACAAGTTACAATGTGTGTCCTAGACAGCGTGTTTAATAATGACTGGCACTTGTAGGCAATCATTCATTTGTGCTCCCCTTACTACTGTTGATATAAGAACATCGTGTTTTGTATGACACTGATCTACAATTTGTAAGCAAATAAACTACGCTGTTACTTGACTTTATCTATGTTATAACATTGTATAAATCTCATAGGCATCTATTTTTTATGGATAAAATTAGAATGGTAACCTCGACTGCGTTATCTAGTGAATGATGATAGGTGAGGGTAAAATCGGGTCAAGTGATTCATCATGACAAATTTATCAGGAATGGATCACGGCGTTATCCGGCATTTAAATGTCGACCTGATAGATTGCTAACAACTGGACTACTAATCCCCATTACCAATAATCTCTTCTTCCCATAATGAACACCCATGTGCTATTTTTAATTTGCAAAACCATGACATTGATTATTTACATGCCAAGCCCTTTTCGGGGTATACTAAAAGATTAATGCAACATAATTTTCACAGATATTTCGATGTTTGTTAATAATAGATTTGAACGAAATACACATACATACGTACATAGATAAGTTATATCCTAACTTAACACATAGGGTGTTTTATATATTGATGCACACAGGCTGCAGGAAACGTTCTTTTAAATGTCTTAGTTCAAGCTATTTTTTTTTCTCATTTGCAGGCAAGTCGAGCCAAAATGGTACATTTAGCGGATCTATTCTCAGTACCAGAAATGGGATTGCTGTGTAATGTAGCTGAATATTTTATTAAGAATCACATTGACTATCATCCCGAGATCCTGTTTTTGGATGTCAAGGTACAATATAATATTTAAACAGAAATATTACATTCATCATTTTTCATCATCATTCCAGCCATTAGTCGTCCACTGCTAGAAATATTATATTAATTAAAAAATATTCGAAGCAGCGGGTTTGTATTAGTGGGAGTACATTGTGTATACCGCAACTCATTGCCGCCTCGGGGTCAATGCTCTTATTAAGTATCAATTGAGACGTTGCTTCATTGGACATCGGCTTTGAATTATAAGTCCCATTGCAATAATGTATCAATTAATTGATAGGTACTCCCACCGTTGTAAGTCTATAACCGGAGGTATATATTTACTCGTTTGCTGTAATTGTTGTAGCAAACAAATTTACATGGAAAATTACCGTCTTGATCTACTATAGTATAATATAAGTATTTTTATCTATTTTAATTCTAGTTTTTATAACATAGCTGTTACTTTTCTCTGTAATACAGAGTAAACTAGTCGCCCACGTCGCCGTGTCGGTCCCGGCATAGAATCACCCCTTCCCTTTCCGTGGGTGTCATAAGAGGTGACTATGGGAGCTTGTAGTAGAGGCATGGGCAGCAGCATCCCTCTTAAATCATCTGTAAAAGCCTAACTGCGTGCCAACACGCCTGCTAAGCGTGGCAACTACTGGCGAAAGTTCCTCTTAAGTCCCTTATAAGGAAGGGTTAAGTTCAGCAGTGGACAGTTAAGGGCTAAAATAATAATAATTGTCACCCATGACACAGGTACTCCTAGTGTAGGGCTTGGTTACAAAAATTTTTTAAAATAAATAAATAAAAAAAAAATTGAAAATGTAATAAATATGCAATTTTAGTGTGAAAATTATATGTTATTATTTGTTGTGATGTTTTTATGAACATGTAATTTTATTATATTTCAGAATTCAGTACAAAGTTGCCATCCAATTATGCACAAGATTGTTGCTCAAAATGTTGAAGAATACATAAGACCCAACCCCGAGCTCAGGAAATATTTCGAGATGCTTCAGAATAGCGGAAAGAAGTTGTTCCTTGTTACCAATAGCCCTTTTCATTTTGTGTATGTACTAAGTAAAATCGTAATTTTAAAAGTACTGCCCCATATTTTTATTTATTTATTTATATATACATAGTATACATGTATGTGTACAGAGCAGCACGTCATATCATATATATATATATATATATATATATATATATATATATATATATATATATATATATATATCAGTTACCGTAGTCCTTTTACTAACTTTATACCGCGGCTTTTTCTATGGTCTTATATTGATGTAAAATAGCCTATAATCTTCCTCAAGAAATTGTGGATTAAATCAAAAAAGATTTTTTCCAGTCAAATTTGTGATTTGAAAGAAACAAAAAAACTAAATCTAATCTTGTCTTTTTTTACTATAAATAGATTGCAGTGGATTCACATTAGTAAATTGTTATCAATAATGATATTTATTTCTTATCTTCCTTTTCCCATTAATATTTCAAGAAGTCCCTTCCTAGTGCTAATGCACGTTATATCTCCTGCCATGATTTTAAACCACACTTTTATTGTCGGTCAATGATATAGATATTAAAATAGACAAATTAAATTATGAAGCTAAAATTCTTAAATAATTTTATGTTCCTATAAGGATAAAATTAGTTTTATAACTGATATTATAATTACATATTATATTTTACAGTAACGCTGGTATGGAGATGCTGGCTGGACATGACTGGTTAGAATTTTTCGATGTGGTAATTGTTAATGCCAACAAACCTAAATTTTTCACGGAGGTGTCGCGACCTATTAGAGTGTTCGACAAAAATGCCAATACCCATATATGGGAGAAGGTTACATCTCTTGAAAAGGGTATTATTTATTATGAGGTAAGTTTATATTATTTTTAGTGAAAATTATTGTTTGATGATGAAATATCTGTTCATATTGTGAATAATATACCTTATAATGTTAATACATAACATTATTCCTTTTCATTCAAGGAGGCGATTAGAGGAGTAAACGGTAATATGTTAATGCAAGATAAGGAACATTTAAAATAAAACCCTAAGTCAATTCCTTCTTTCATGAGGAGAGAACTATCATCAATAACACAGATTACTTCTTTAAGTATTTAATAGATTGTTACGGTGATGTTGCTGATAGAATGAATTGCAAAAATAACTTTAAGCATTTAATAATAGATAATTTTTATAATTACTTACTAATAAAAATGTTTTGAGAAGAACTCTTATTAGTACTCTTGTTAGGTTCATTTTCATAATATTAAAAAATCATACTTAAACGTTTGTAGCACAGCTATTGTATGGTTTTGTTTTGATATGCTCCTCAAATTACTGCATACAGAGAAAAAATGTTTGGGATACTATGAGCATTATTAGTGTATTTTATTATTTTTGTACTGTTTATTTCTGTAGGCAGTGGTTACTATCATAAAAATTACATGATAGGTAAAATGTTTTAATAATTACAGGGTACAGTGAAACAACTACAAGACCTAACGGGCTGGAGTGGTCACCAGGTGCTGTATTTCGGCGACCACCCTTACAGCGACCTCGCAGATGTTACGCTCGAGCACGGCTGGCGAACCGGGGCTATAATCAACGAGCTCACGGTCAGCCTAGCAATTACATTTTCTTATGAAATTTGTACATATTTTTATAGTTATCATCAAAATCATGCTACCAGGAAATCAATGACTAAATTTTAATTTAATATGAAATGTATATAAAACAATTCAGGACGAAATGACACACACCCAATGAAATGAAAAACTGGGTAGATTTTTGCTTCGCAGTTCAAATAAGATTACAATATAATAAGTATTATAACAGTGTAAGAACTAATATACCGAAAGGTTTAAACTATGATTCTATTTCATATCATATGGCTACTCTCTGCCTCTATTACTAGAGCTGATCTTCACCTCCCGCTCTCCTTTCATCCGTCTGTCTCAAATATGATCATTTGAAAAACGTGCTACTAACCTAAGCAAGTCACATGAAATTACCATTTATTCTATTCATTGCTGCCAACTTATTTTTTACAGCATGAAATCAACACCTTAAATACGAGGTCCTTCAAAGAGAACGCTAACTGGCTCCAGATGCTCACGCAGCTGATTGAAGATCACCAGGATTACAAGGATCCTGAGGCACTCAAGGTCCTCGGTGAATGGATGGCTGAGAGGGATTTTCTTAGGTTCGTAACAAATTTTATTTTTTAATCATTTCGTGTGTATAAAATGGTGTGTGTGTTTGTGTGTGATTAATGTCATATTTATTTTGATATGTAAATACATGTTATATTTGAAATAAAGTTTTTAATTAATAAGTATAAAAGCAATTCATATAACATTTTTTGTGATACTTAGAATGGCAAACAAACTAACGGTCCACCTTATGAAAAGCAGTACATACTAGCAGGTAAATTGAGACATTCATCATCATCATTATCATCGCCGATACCAAGTGATTGAGATGAAGGTAGATGATGAGTATGAATTTTGTAATAAATCGAAACAGCATTCTAATCTCTGCCTATCTAGGCTGAGACTTAATTTAAATATAAATAAGTTATGCTTAAATTTTTGAGATATTTTAATAAAATTTGCACATTGATTAATAGATTTTGGTGAAAATTTTATCAAATTGATTATTTTATTTTCCCATCTAAAATCGACATGAACAAAAATTAAAATAATGTGTGGCTTTCAATGGTGGCTTTAAGTCTTAACCCTCTTACTTATATTTATTTGTTTGTTTATTATTACTTTAAATATATTTATTGGATTGTTAAATAATATGTAATCCACATTAAATGCAATTAGTTATTTATACCGAATTTTGTATAAGTAAGAAGGTATGTGCAAATACTGTTATTTATTGTAATTGTATTATAACTATTAATTTATGTTGCATCGACGCGTTCTATTCCAAATTATATTTGTCTGTAAACTAATTGGCTTTTGTAAATAACGCACATGTCTTTGCTTTTCATGCTCGCATTGTAGGAGTTCTTATCTCACTTCCAGGAACGATATAAAGGCGGTGTTTAACCCTCAATTTGGTAGCGTATTCCGTACGTACCACAACCCCACCTACTTCTCCCGAAGACTGTTCCGTTTTGCTGACATCTATACCTCAAATATCACAAATCTACTCAATTACTCACTTACTCACACCTTCTACCCCCGACGTGGTGTTATGCCACATGAATATGGATCGTATTTTGTCTAGTTTTAAGGTTAAAAATGCTAGTTCATTGTTAGAATATAGGTGTTATTATTATGAAATACTATGTACAGTGATCAAAGAATTCTTTAATTTTAGACACCTAGTTGTATGTTTTATTGATCATATTGAAATTGTAAATTATTTATTATAAAATCTATTATTATATGGTGAAATAATATAGCCCACCAAGCTATTTGATTTTAGAATATTTTGAACGTTCCCATTAAAATTGTATAATAAATTGTTTATTTTATTTAAATGGCGAAAAAATATCATAATTATAGTTCTCTGAGTTAGATAGCAAATATGTAAATAAATTTATTGTACCAGTAGAATGAAGAGAACTTAGAAGAAAAATAATGTTTACTGTAAATGAATGTTTTAATTTTATATCACATTAAGTAGTAAAATAATATAGAATAGAATTTATATAATAAAACTAGTATAAATTTTTACAATTGTTATTTAATATGGTTTATCTTAAAAACCAATATATTGTTGGTATGATGTCATTTATAGATACATATCTTCAAGGATTGTGTTCTTCAACGTTTGTGAAAACACAATAATGTACGATTTTATTATTTTAATTACAAATATGTAAAAATATTAAAGTTTTATTCACCAATTTGAATCTGATAATGTTACTATGATGGTTGTTAGTGTCAATGACGTCACTTTACATGTTTTTCATTTGAATTAGTGAATCAAAGCGAGAATGACATAGCATTATACTGCTATACTTAATCTTTTGCATTGGATTGATTCGATTCATCACTCTACTGGTTACTTTGTTTTTTTTTATATATATATGTTATAGAAGTTACTTCTTACTACCAATTTCTAATAGAATGTAAGTATTCAGCCAACTGTGTTCTAGTCAAATGTATTTAATACTGATTCACATGAGTTAAGTTTATTTATATATGTTATTCATCGCTATAAGTGTTACAAACATATCTTTACTGTCAATTTTCCAACTGTGTATATAAGGAATGAATCTATGCATTAATATTGTTTATTTAACTAATAAAATTACGTAAAGGCTGATTTTTAAACCAATATCTGTCATATTCTTTTTAAAACAATATGTCTAGTCTTGCTTTAAGAGCTGCAACCCACAGTTTAAGGCGAGACTTAAGGACGCAAAACGCTATATGAAGAAGATATCCGGATGAAGTCCAAACAATTGACGGAAACGACAAACATAATAAGTTCATAAAATTACAGGAATTTTATGATCTTACTATATTTTAATTTGCTCAGTTGGTTATAACACACAGGTTTTACAGGAATATATTTAGCAATTAGTTACTTATCAGGTGTTGAACACATCTTAATGGCAATTTAATTTTTTAACTCCCTCACCAATTCTTTTTAATAACAACTCACGTAAATAAGGTATTATCATGAATTTAAGTTAGTATCTATTGAAAGCCCCAAAAGTTTTCCTTTTTACGACTTATGCTCTATAGAAAATGTCAATCAAATTTGTAAATGTTATGGTCATATTTTGGACTGTTAGTATTAGTATCCATACCAGAATCAATATCTTATCGAATTGATTAGAGAAAAAAAAAACAGAAATAATAATTATTAATACCTAAACTACTTAGAAATATAAATGTAGATATGGTTTAAAAATATATTTATTTGCAAAATCAGTGTTTTCTCTACTTATTACTTATTGTAGTATATATAATATTTATTTTACCAACCAAAAGTTATTTTCAGAAATTTTATACAAGCCATATTAAAAATAAGATACAAATTATTATATTCAATGAGTTACCATTTATTAAGGCAGTTTTCAGTTTAATGTGTTAAAATAAATAAAAAAATAATTATAATGTAATGTTTGCAGTTTTCATATCCATAATAATACTCGTATATTTCTTAAGAAAAAAAGCATAATTGATAGTGAAATTACGCTTGTATGTAAATTTTAATATTTGTAGAAACCTTATGGGTAAGTATACTATACCATAAGAAGAAATAATATCTGGTATAAGGAAGTCATTGCACTATCATAATATATAGGATCATATATAGACCATTTAATAAGCTAGATGTATTTTCAATCGCTTAAGTTTTGCAATATCTTGCATAGATATTTATATTTTAGTAAGATCACTTGCTTCCATTGTGTTCACTGAGATTATATAGATATTCTCAATCGTGTCCATTTTAGTCTACGAATTAGACTCTTCAGTCTTCTCACGAATTAGACTCTTCTCTTCAGAACCTCAGTAGATATTTCGATCCCGAGACATGAAAACATTTACAAAAACAGCATTACAGACGGGATTTTCTAAAGGGCTTTGTCACATTGAAATCTACTGTCAATGAATCTAAATTAATAAAGGGAGCGATTGTTTGTTTGAACGCGCTAATCTCTGGAACTACGTATCGGATTAAAAAAAATGTGCTTGATATGTAGCACATTTCTTATGGAAGGTTATAGGTAGGCTATGTTAAAATAGCACTATATAATCGCGTGTGACCTCGCGGGATACAGTACCATTATCATTAATTCAATCTATGTTCAATCAACTTAAAAAATATGGACTTTTTCACTTTGCCTGTATTTTTGTGTGTGTATATTACGCAATATCTTAACCGAGGTAAGGCTGATTTAGAGAAATTATTTTTATAATTAACAGAGTTTATTTCCGTATGGGGCCACTGTTTCTGTTGAAAAATTTGTTTATTGCTCTAAAAATATACATAGTATGGTTATATATATTTGATAGTGTAATGAACCTTCTATATTACAATAACATTAGGACTTAGTATACATATATTATTGATAAATGTTTTTTTGGATACTACTAAAACTTAATGTACACGATATCTTTGTAGATATCCTTATATAGGTAGTAGTAGACTTCGACAATAAATCGTTCGAACTGTTTACCAATGGATAACATCAAGTTTTGTATATGTTTATCTTTTCAAGGGCTATTAAAAGAATCATGTTATAATTGTAACTACAGATTTTTTTATTAAGATTTTCTCATTAAAAATATATACATTATTACAATTTGTTTATCTTTACATATTTGTAATAAACCTCGCTTATCATTGTATGTACTTGTTTATATTCTTGCAATTCTACTATCAATACGCGGTCATGTTTTGACCTATGGATTGAGTAAGTACTAGATAGTATTTCGTGTATATGGTTGGATGCAGCATAACATTTTAAATGAGTCAAGAAACAGATCTTTAATATATTTATTGTAATAAATATTTACAAATTCATACCTGTAATGAAAACACCAAAAATACACATTTAATTTATTAACACAATAAAATTTACTTCGATCCGATGACATTGAAAATGTTTTTAAAAAAAAAAGTGCTTACAAAATCAAGCGTAGAACGGGAGTTTCAATATCCCTAGCTGTATTGATACCGCGCTTTTGCAAAACTTCAACTCGGACGTAATAAAAATAGATAGATTGCTAAAGTAATCAGTAAAGTCTATCTAGAACATCTATAATTGTTGTTAAAATAAATTATATGTATTAGTAAATGTGTTATTTAGTATAACGCAGAACTGTAGGAGTAAAGATCTGTGTTACATGAGCTGTAAAAATCAAACTTTTATTCTTTTGTCTTTGCCTATATTTAATTAATATCCGAATGCAGTTTTCTTATAAACGGGTCCATAGTCAATGGATCGATAATATTAATAATAATTAAATATAAATTACGTAATTATTAGAACATCGGGTATCCTGTATCGATCAGTGGCAGGTTATCCGACCTTATAGTCTTGGTTTGTATGACGAAGTTGACGTTATTGTAGCGTAGCTTACACGGGCGGTCGGGCCGCGCCATGAAACATAAAGTGTACAACGCCGTCTCGAGCTCCGGTGACATACCCACGAACATGGTCACCTCGGGGGCGTCCTTTGTTTCACTTAAGATCGAGTGTTGCTTTAATATCAGCCCTTTCTGGAAAGTGTAGATTTGATGTAAATTAAGATTTACGTCATATAATAGGCCACCCCTTCCTTTCCCGTGGGTGCTGTAAGAGGCGGCTAAGTAAGGAGAGTGAAGGATGGGCAGCAGCGATTGGCCCGCTTGTCAAGCGTGGCAAGAACTGAGGTTTATGTTTAGCAGGGGACAGTTAAAGGCTGATATGATAATGATTCACAAACTCAATATAACAACAATTTGGGATGAATTAAGTACCTTGCATTTTTTTGTATTAGTAATTGGGAATTCGGCCAATTTGAAGCGAAGTATATGGTGGTATAATAAGGACGAAGTTTTGTCAGTAGGCCCATTATGATGCATTCTAGTATTGAACACGACAAGGAAGACCAAAAGGAGGCTGTCCTAATTAAATATATTGCTAACAAGAGGGGCATTAAACTTCAAAATTATAGTTCCCTCTGTTCTGACATATAATAGATGAGAACAGTAACATTACGAATTACAAACATTCGTCTATAGAAGACAAAATTTTTAGTATTCTGCTGCGTAGATTGCACAGACAAAAGTGCGTTTACGATGGATAAAAATGTAAGCCGAGCAATGTCCATCCTTTATTTATAGTCTGAAATTTATACAAAGTACTTGAACATAGGTACTAAAGACTATTAGATTGTCACTAGATTTATGCAGAATGACATGTATCGACACAATGTAACGTATCTAAACTACAAGTATTTAATGAATCATCTGAATAAAAATATTTACTTACGCCAGAGAGATCAAGCTTGTCTATATATCCGAGATAGTTGGCTTTGTGATCCAACTCACGTTTTGCGAAGAACAGCCAGCTGTGTAGACCTAAACAGTAATGTACGTGCTTATTTTAATGAACTAAGTATGACAAATAGTTGAAATCATTAGCATTCGTTTAAGACAGTATTTTATTAAATATATACTGCCATTGTAGTGAAACAAAGGTCAAAAACAACCAAATTTTTAATCAAAATACTAACAGTATTTAAAAAAGATGTTATTGATTTCGATTTTTATATAAGTATACAAATAGATATCTAATGGATAATGGAAATTTAAAATTGATTTAAGAACGTTTATATCGAAGTGTGACCACGTCGGAATTATATATTAACTAGTTGTACCCTGCGGCATTGCACGCGTACCTATATATAGTATCATATGTGTTAAAATAGAAAATACTCGTGTACAAAATTTCATTCAAATCAGTTTAAGCTTAAACATCTACAGTTTTTCACATTTTTTATACCACACAGTTAGCAAACAAGCATACAGTCCGTCTGATGGTAAACGCTTATTGTAGCTTATGGACGGCTGCAACACTAGGAATGTCACGTGCACGTTGGCGACTCTGAAGAAAACTTTAATAATTAACTTATTATAGTTAATTTTTTAGTATATTTTAATAATACTTTTTTTTTTATTTTAAATTAAATTTTAATTCTTGAAGAATCCCATACAGGGAGCTTATTCCACAATCTCAGCGTACTATTTAGATTCAAGTATGTAAGGATGACATTTATAATAGTGCGATTTTTAATTTACGTTTTTTTTTTGGTTAATTATGTGCGTTTAGGTCGTTATCAGCGCTATTTATAATTAATAATGACAGATAAATCTGACGTTATTATGCTTTGTTAAACGTTGATATGAACGCTCTTAAAGTATTGGCGGTTGGTATCAGAATTTACGATTTGATTTCTGTTCATTGCACAATTCTACTATAATAGTAATCGCGAAATTTGTGAGAATGTATGGAAGGATGTTTAATACTATTTAAATTACGTAATGGATGTGAATAAAATTTGATAAACAGATAGATTACATCTCAATATATAGGATAGGTACACTATACTTATAATGATTTACACTGTCAAAGTAGCGGAATATAACTAGTCTTTGTATGTACCTATTAACATTATTCATTGACACCGTATGTAGGTATACCGGTACCAAAAATTTACAAAGAAATCTTAATTCTTACCCAAAACCTGATCCGACTTCAGTTCAGCCATAAATATGTTCTCAAACGCACAGCTGCATTTACATATTCCGGTCCAGTGACGGGCATACTTGGTGAACCAGATTTTCCTCAGCAGTTCCACTTGCTCGTTGTATTCGTTCAACTGCGTCAGACCTAATTCAATAAAAATAAGAATATAAATATCAGAGGGAAACTACAAACGTGTTATGCATAGGCATCTCTGTCCCATTTGTGTCTCTGGTGACAAATAGTTGTTTTTATGGTTGTGTTTTGGTTTGAAGGGAGTTCACTGAAATGGAAGTGAATTACAAGATACTGAAGAATAATAATATCCTATAATAATATACATTAATTATATACAATAAAGTTTTTACAGTACAATATCTGAGTTCTCAGAAATAGCATCGCATGAGATATATAGGTATATACTAAGCGCCACAGTGTATTTTAATATGTTCATGGTACTGGTCGTTGTCGTCGTTTTATAAATATTATCATAAATACAGAACAATCAAATCTTCATGTTCATGCACCACGACCTATTTTATTAACTTTTTAACCGATTTTAAAAAGAAAGAGGTTCTCAATTCGGTTGTATTTTTTTGTTTGTTATCGCATAACTTCGTCAGTTATTAAAAATGATTTAGATAACTTTTTTTCTTATCTGAAAAGATATTTACATATTGATTCCATAGAAATTTTGTCAAAATCGGTGCAGTAGTATTGTCAAAGGCGGTTTTTTTGTGTAACACAACTTTAAATTGTATTATTCATAATTATATTGTGACTAATGTGTAATCTAAATTTGGAATTTACAGTTTATACTCCATACATATTATAAATAGGTAGGTATTATATGCTGTATTCAAAGCACCTTTAAGAACTTAAATTTAAAGTGCAAGTGAGATAAGGCATTCGCAAAATATTTTGGATGTATAAAAAATTATGATGAGTAATTTTTTAATAGCGGGCCAATTTCATTTCATAATTTGTTTATTTATCTATTACAATAGTGTCGATATGTATCTATTGCATTTACCTTTATTGACTAAGAAGGCCATTAGACTTCTAATAGGGCCGGTCGCCAATATGGTATTTATGAAGGTAGTCTGCTCTGATTCTTCCTGCAAAACATTACAATTAGCTTAAATAATGGTTTACAAGATATACTTAGCTATAGTTTATTATTATCAGTTCTGAACCGATTTTGCTAATTTTGTATTTATTAAGGATTACTTCCTTGTTTGCCGTGTGGTCCTGGTATAGAACTACCCTTTTCCGGGGATGTCGTAAAAGGGGCCTAAGGAAACTTACTCGTGGAAGAATGGGCAGCAGCATCCCTCTTAAAACATTACCTAATAACTTGCGGTTCTCAAAGCGCCTGCCTAGCGTGGTAACTATTTTTAAAGCTCTCCATTAGGGGAAGGCCATTAAGTTAGTTAAGCAATGATGTGTTTTGGTTTCATACTGATGTATCATGATTTAAGTATTTTTTTAACAAAAATTTTGTTTATTACAAATTGAAGAATGTTTTCATTTTCTATTACAGATATTTATCTGATTTAATTAGGTGTTTCAAACCTGTTTTCTGTTAGTTCTATCATACTATATTCACAGTTCTCTCATATTAGTTTATTTTTATGTATTAGGTAGTTGGTACTATGAATTGAATCCCTGGGATCAAATCGAAAACTATTAACCAAGGAACATATTTTATTCCAATTTATTTTAGTTTAAAATATACTTAAATCAACTCACATTAGGTGTAACGAATTCGGGCCTGATCACGTTTTTGTGGTAATTGTCAAAAAGTGCCACAAAAGGTTTGATTGTTGGACCATTCCATACGGCGTCGGGAACATTCAAGAGACTGTAACAAATTATAAATTTAAATTATTGTTAATACTTTTTAATCAGTATAAGACTATCGACTTCCAAGTTTCATTCAAAAGATGGAAATAGGCATTTTTACTAGGTATCTACACCATCTTATTTGAGTTTGAAGGGTTCAATTTTAATATTATGCTAAATTTGAAATCAATTAAAATATTTTAATCTTAGCTATTTCTTTATTTTTCGCACTTTTATTTAGATAAAAAAAAGCGGCTGAAATGCCAAGAAAATAGAAGTAAATATTTATGCAGACAACTTTTGCACAAAGTTTCTTCTAATACCTATTTATTTTATGGTCAAATATACTTATTTCAAATTATATGATTGTAAGTTCCTTTATATTATAGAACATAATATGTTTTAAAATGGTTTATATATTTGTGTTGTACATGCTTATTGAAGTGTAGTATAGGACAATGACAACGTAACAATCAGACGGATTTTACAAGACATTTCTTCAATAACGATTGTTATATAACTAGTTTAAATTTTTGCCAAAACTTCGAGGCACAAGAGAAATCTATAATTGTCATTCCATATAATCATAAATGCATGAGCAATGCCGCTGGATACACTTGCTTTCTATTCGAGTAGACCTCTGTAATTTGCATATTTAATAGGAATATATGTAGTTACGTTTAGTTTCATATTGTTGGTAGTTTAAAAAATATTTTTCTTATACATTGCAATAGTACTTATGATTAAAAAATTTTAAGCGGCTTGGGAAAGGAAGGTTTTAAAATCATATGTTTTTTTATGTGTATGTTACGCGTGTGTAATAGAATTACTTTCTTAATTTGTATTATTTAATTTATTTTAAAATCACAATATTATTCTAGTGAAATAGTTAATTTGTCATGATTATGATGTCATTGTTTATTTGCGGCGTAGTATATTTGTTTTTTATACAACTCAATATAACAAACAAGCCATCAGGATCATCTCATGGACAGTGATAACAGTTGTCTGTAAACATGAATAGCATCATGATTTCAAAAAATATACTGTGACGCCTATGATACTATGTCTCATGTGGGCACGGCTTGATGAGCAGCTAAGATAATACTGTATATTATGTTAATTATTATACTTAGTTATTGCCATAATATAGAGCCACGCTGTTTTGTTTAGGAATATTGTTGTTTTTTTATTTATATACAGTAATCTTAAGAACACAAGGTGATCCACACATGACCTCTGTATCTTTCAGTAAAGTGTAATATTTCCTCAATTTTAGTCATGTACTCAAATATCACTGAGAATTCAATGAACTTCACGTAAAACAAATGTAAATAAGAAGTATTTGTACGTAATTAAACATTGATTGAATGTCCAATATTTATTGGCAGAGAGTGTTGTTGATAGCGACTTGCAAACAATTTGTTTAGGTTAATGTTAATGATCAGCAATCATCGAATTTATGTCACTGTGTAATTATGTCTACCAATACAAATGTATACCAGCCTGCTGCGTATAATAGTAGCAACCATAACTACTGTTTATGCTGCGATAGTCTGATAGTATAGTAAAATAGCGATGGATCAGTTGAACAATGTTTGACTACTGTCCAGACATCCAAAGATTGAATCTCAGCATAAAGCTACCTGTTTATCTAACTCTATTTATATTAATTTGATAGTATTTATTGTTAAAATCCAAAATAAAATATTAGACTGGGTAGATATCTTATCTAACTTATTTTAAGTAAAAACAATAAGCCAACAATTTGGATTAATATTTAATTAGTTTGAAGTAACAAGTAGTAGCTAAGTGATTCTGGATTAAAATATAAATGTTTCTAAGTAAATAAATAACTACTTGTTATTATTAAGATATGGCAAACAAGTAAATACAGTATATATACATATAGACTTGCGTAATCAGGTACCGAGTCGATCGGGTGCCCTACGAGAACAGAATGATATCATCCTTACATTAGTAAGTTCAGATTTATAATATTACTCGTAATTATAAATCTGAAAGTGAGTTTGTTTGTTAACTATTAGCGCATTAACTGCTAAATAAATCACTGTGAAAATGTAAGTTGTATATAATATATATTTATACACTTACATATATATAAGATAGAGAAAGACATAGGCTATACTTGAACCTGGTCAACAAATATATCCTGATCACGCGGACGAAGTCGCGGGTAAAAGCTAGTAATGAATTTATGAGTAGTTCCACTTACTTATTCTGTGCCTGATCGTTCTTGGTCATAGCACTAGTTTTGCCTTGCAGATTCACTTCAATGTAGTTGAATGCGTTGTTGACATCCCCATTGAACATCTCCTCACTGAGCCGTAGCAGGTCATCGTCGGTAGTGGAGTCCTGCACTTGCTTCAACAAATCCTCGTAGCTCTTCTTCTTTGCGTAATCGACAACACCACCCACTACTGTACCGATTTGCTGTAAAGTGTTAGCTCCCGTGTTTCCTTGCTGTCCTGTTACGGAGTTAGTAATAAGGTTCGGCAGGATACTGTTGAAGATTTGTCCTGCCGCGTGAGCAATGTCATCAGCACGACATGCCACTAAACATAACAGGAAAATAAATATGATTTTCATCCTAAACTATGTTTTAATACGTTGACTCTGATAGGAACACGGCGCACTAGTGATCTGTGCCCGCGCCGACTAAATCGCGCTGCTCGACCTCCGAATGACGTCAGCTTGCCCAAGCATAAGTACATACGGTACCCGAGTATCTCACTGAATTACCATTCAATCTGCAATCCAAGTTTTTTGTGATGGTTACCCTGAATGAATAACTAAATTCCATGTTCCTTTTTTGATTTACAACGATGGATATTTTACTGTATAAAAATTAATGATCGTCTACTATGTTATCATCCATGCATGTTGTAGTGTATTATTATGTATAATTTAAGCGATCACTATAATTGATTGATCTATCGACTATTTCATGACGTGTATAGCAGAAATAACATGTGCAGAGGCATAATACCTTTGTCTTCAGGAATAGTAAGTTATGAAGAGTATCATAGGCGACACAGTATACTCCATGTTATATGTCCATAGTAATATCCACGTCTATAGGCGACGGTTAGCACTTACCATCAGGTGGGCCTTAAGCTTGTTTAGCGTTCTAAATTGCATAGAAAAAGCAAACCATGTAGTTAAATAATTGTATTGTTTGTCATGTACACTACTGTGTTGCTCAGTCAAGCGTTATAAATTAATATATATTTATAATATACTTGGCAAAAAAAATGGCGTATTCCATAAATCGGCAATAGTTAATTAATGTTATCTACCTTATTAGGGATTACAGTTGTGATCATATTTATTTATTATGGGCACCATGGATGTCACAGTGTATTCCATAGTAGGTTGTTTTTCCAGTCGCATAAAAAAGAAGATATAGGTACATACCATGGAATAAATTATTGCCATTTTTAGTACATAAAAATCTCTCCAAAATATCAAACGAAGATACAGTTATAATGTTTATAAAACTGGTTAGTGATAAAAAACTTATAGCCGATGTCAATGGACTTCAGAATTGTGTCATATAAACTTATGAATTTCTATCAAATATTTAAAATCAGGTAGAGAGATATTAAGGTAAGTAACAAATACTCGTAAACAAACAACAGGCTTGATAATTATTTATGACGGTTTTTTATTAGATAGGATACAAATAAAAGAAAGTCGCTGAAAAGAGACATTTTATCGGCAGTATCGGTCGCAGGCGAGCGCGCATCTGCAATGTTACTGTTGCGTGCGCAGGCGCAGCGGGAAAATCGTATTTTACTTCATGTCATGTTTTATGCATCGTTCAAAGAGCACATTCTTTATAGAGGAACAAAATGATCGCTATTTCAAGTGGATATGTCTAAGTAGTAATTATCTGATTGAATCTAATGAAGACATTGTTACTCGTGGCTTATTAACTTTAACTGCAGGCAAAAATGAGCAAAATGAATATATTTACTTGAGATATTGATAACTAATAGGAAAAGTACTGGTCTATGTGATATGTGAAATACAGAATATCGAAGTAACATACAATGTAACTGCCTATTAAGTATTTTTAGTTATGTAGTGTCGCAGGCTTCCATAGGCTACAGTGACTATTTCCCATCAAATGGGATATATGCTTGTTTCCCATTGTTGTTATGTCCTTACCTGTATCTTAGTGCTATAAAAATAAATGTAAATATATACTACCTACATTACTTATGGCTTAAGTGTTTCCTTTGATTAATTATTTTTCTTCATAATTATAATCTGCTCCATTTTCAGTTATATTGTTTTTTTAAAAGATGAATACATGTATCAAAGAAAAGTTTTAATATGTAGGTATATCAATAATGATATATTAATACTACTAATAAACCATTGTCTTAGTTTTACTTTATTTGGATATTATATAAACTCGAAAGTATTTATTAAATGAATGGCATCCTTAATATAAGATGCAACTGTTGTTTACAGCTGGTAATTGGACGCTAACGAATGATAATGACAATAGACAACGCTCCACTTTAATATTATTTGCATGTGTTATACTGCAATAAAATGACATCCCACGCATAAACCAGCGAATCGTAAATTGGCTTATTTCAGATATGTACGTAAAAGTTGGTATTTTGTTTCCACAATTTGAGACGTTTTAAATACCGTTATAATATCAGCCGTTAATCTCCTCTGTTAAAATAGACTACCTCCTATTGGGGGGCCTTGCTAGTAGTTGTCACGCTTGGCCGGCGGTTTGGCAACCGCAGTTAGGCGATTGGTTTAAATTACTCAAAAGCTCTGATTAAGGGGTTTTCAGAAAATTACTTTTAATTTGTGACTGTAATCCATTTATACATACATGATATATTTCCTTTAGAAAACACATTTTATATCCGGAGGAGCTAAAAAACATCGCTACGAAAACGTCTTAAAATTTCTATCATTGATAGGATCTAACAGCGAATTTTAAAAAAGGGCGAGCACCAAAAATCATGGTAAGGTCGCGGTGTCAAAGGTTTTTCTGCCTGAAAAAGGCCTTCTTTCAATAATAATAGTCTTTGGTGATGTTTTAAGAGGTAAGCTATTACCCATGCCCCGACCATTAAGTTCCCATAGTCGGCTCTTACAGCACCTACGGGAAAGAAAGTGGTAGCCCCTTATATGCCGGGACCATACAGCATAGAAATACGTATGAAATATACCTTTATCTTAAAGACAAAATGCAGAACTTTTAATAATGTATCCATTGCATTTCTTACCACTACTACATTAGCATTTGAATGCTCTTCTTCTTGTTTATTTTTAGTTTTATTATTATAATGTACAGTTAAGTGAAGCACTAAATATTTTTCTTTCATTCTTTCTTCTCTTTCATATATCTATTGTAAGACACATCATAAATATATTGTAAGACACAAGATAGAAGATTTCGATTATATTCTACTAAAGAAGATTCCTGAAGTATAAAACTTGAACGTTCAGTTTTTTAAAAATGGAAGACTAATTCTATATAAAACAAATTAAGTTTCAATAACTACATTTGATGGTTTTACATAACACCATTGATACCAGAAGTATCAGAACATATACAATTCTGCTCTATCTGGAAACATACTGTTATTTTCTAATAGTTTAGTTATTTTGATTCTTCAACGCAGTCAATATCTACTGTTATCTTAACTAGTTTTTTTTTTTTAAAGTAGCAAAAGATACGTGCTTTATTGTATCTAGAGAAGAAAGATAAAATTCTTCTTATTTAGTAATTTGGTGCATAAATTTGTTAAAAAAAGTAATTTTTGAGTCTTTTGCGGTTTCTTCTCCTACATACACAGCGGTAGAATCATAAAAAACGACGAATTAAAAATACTTGTAAACAAGTCTATTTATATAAAGCTTATTTTTATTTTATTGTAAATTATTCACTCATTACTGAGGGTCGTGATTTAGTCGTAGATTGTCAATCTTTCGCCGTCATCTGTTACGGTTAGCCTAGGAGATTGTGGTAGATAATTTTTAGTGTTCGGCCTCTAAGCTTTTGCGCTCTCTAATCCATCTGTTATTGCAGACGTTCCAGGTTTTAAGAATCTCTACGAACAGTGTAACCGAAGTAGTTAACAATGATCTGAAAAAAGATTGAGGATAGATTTTTTTATTCTCTATTTTATTTTATTAGAAATAAATTAACGATGAACTCTCCGTGTTTATTTTTTCTGTGATAAAAATCGAATGGTAATTCCACCTATGTTACTGGTATACGCTTTTGTGACGAATTTTTTAAAAATTTACAGCAGTGATTTCCAGGGAGGATTACGCAGAGGTGGACCTGACAAGATATATACGAGAGAGTCGCTACATTACATTACTAACGTAACCCAGCATATTATCCATGCATGCATGCATGCATGGTATCCCAACAATTATTAGTAGGGGGAGGAAGGGAGTATTAGTAATGAGGTATAAAAATTGAATAATTAGCAATATCCTATCAGGTCGATCTCTACGCGGTTAATTCTTGTTGAATTGGTCACTGTGGGCCAACTGATCTGCCTTCATACTCACCCGTCCCCTTCACTGGTGCCCCGCTAGTATATACCGACAACATAGGCAGCGTTACCATTCCATCTATACATATTAAAAAAATTGGGAAATATTGTATGTCTTCTGTGATGTCCATAGGCGACTATTTCATCTGACAAATTATGTTATACTTTCCAGTAGAATAAATGCTTATATTTTCAACATAACATAAAATCTTTGTCTTTAAAAAAACATCTCATATATAATATCTGAAGTAAATAAATTGTGATAAACATTAAAAAGAACCTGTTAATCTATACTGAGAAACACGAAGTTATCGTTATGAGGTCACGCCAACAGAGGTCACCACGCGTCGCGTATTATGAAAATATCCTACCTAATATGTACTAGAGATGAATGTTGCGAAGAGTTTTGTTTTCAAAGTTATTTTATATTAGTAAGCCATGGAAAAGGTTCTACTAGCGAACACTAAATGTAATGATAGTACTATTATGGAGATGAGTAAAGTGAGGGTGATTATAACGAGAGGATATTTATTCATTAATAATTACCATGCTGGACACGTAGCTGCTTTATACCATCCTTATAATAAAACCTTATGGTTTTATTACAAGTTATTCGCACTAGAACTTTTGCAGCACTTCAACATATACCTACTGAATGTCCTGGAAAAGTGAAAAATATATCTATATATTTGTTACTCTTTCAGGATAAATAATATCTATACCATATTATGATACTGACTTCGATATTTTCTTGCAAACAAATATTATTATTTTTTTATTTATTTGTCAGATTTATGTATAAAGTATTTACTATTATCTTCCTACAGCGATGGAATTAAGAATAAAAATTTATATTGCTTGTCCATATCGTAATATTCATACTTATATTTCAAAGTTATTTATTTATTAGGTCTTGTTCTACTTTGAGTATTCTTTTTATATCTATATATAAGAGTTTATAAGACAGAGTAAATATAGCTGATTTTAAGACAGGTTCATAGTTTTATTTTAATTAGACCAATGTAATTAGATAAAACATTTTTTTAGGTTAAGAATAAAACTCTATTAGTATTTATAATAGCTTTGCTTAGACGTCGAATACTTTATTATCTAATGTAAGTCAACTCGAATTGAAAACCTACTCACTCCAACGCTGTCGCGGTTATGTCTAAAATAGTTTTAACAATATGCGACACTGTCTGTCCAGTAGTCGCATCGAACGAAACGAATGAACGTTATGTTCCTTGCTACGTTGCTTACTTGACCCTGCCGAATAACTTGTTCCTAACATCAGCGTTCAAATAATTTGTTGAATTACATTTACCTACAATAAGCTGTCAGTATAAAGAGGCAGCAAGTATCGTGCGCCTGGGCTCAGAAATTAGCTGGTTGAGGACAAAATGAAGGCCGGTTTATTTATTTTGTTGTTTGTGTTCTGCTATGTGCAAAGTGAGTATTCATATATTTATTACTTTAAATTTATTCTAGTAGCTATGTTACATTACTTTCGTATGTTATAGTATACTCACCACAAATCTTTAGTTTTATCAATTTCTATTAAATAAATCTTAAAAATAGAGTAAAGGACATTAAAATCAAATAGAGACATAATTAGGTCTCTAAGCACTATCTTACTCTGTGCAAACGTACATATAGATACATATACAGATGTCATCAAAATAAGATGTATGTGCATATATCTTATTTTTTTGACATATCATACGCATAAACTTTAGATTATACAGATAGAGTGTCTCCGTACAAATGCTTCGAGAAAAGCTGATCAACTTTTTCATACAATTTTGCGTGATAAATAGTTATGAGATTCTTTTATAACTTTTATATTTATTTTGTTTTATAATTTCTGCATCTTTTTAATGAGTAAACACCTATTTTATTTATTAAATAATACATCAAGATACATTGTTTGTGTAAGTATATAGAACACTGATAAAATAACGATAGCTGACTCGTTTGACAATTAGCTGACGAAAGTTGACCCGTTTTTTAAATTCGAAACTATCCATATAATCTAAGGTAAACTTACATAAAGTACATTACTTAAGTAATAATTTGTAATTTCTCTAAACTAAATGAGTAGTTGCAGATTCATGCTTTCTTGTTTTGATATTACGTTATTACAAGCAGTAATCGATATCAGAGAATTTTCATTGTAATGTCTAATGTTAACAACGATGTCTTAGGGTTGCCAGTTTAAGAAGGGATTGACAAATTAATAGGGATTATTTGATTTCTAAATGTCATGTCTACAAAAATATGAGTTTATTAAGATATATGGATGATATTACTGGATAGTTCTCAGGACTAGTGATAAGTGGCACCACGGGTATCATTATGTACCAAACAAACGATATCAATGGTGCTGTTAATGTTTGTTAACGTAGGTTTTGGATCAAAAAAGTAATTACATTTGTAATAATATTAATAAAACTATAATATTCATTATATAGATGAAATTACTACTATTATATATAATGAAATATAAATAGATTTGGTGTCTTTATTCCAACATATTTTCTAAATGCCTGGACAGATTTCGATGTCTTGTTAGAGTTCTAGCATCATCTCAAGAGATACTGTCTATAATGTTTTAGTAAATAGTTATATTTCGATCATTTTTTTATTTTTAGTTAGCTAAATGTAAAACTATAATGAAAGTAATACCATATATTCTGTTGTAATCCATTTACAGGTCGAAAAACATATCCACCAGTTGATAAAAATGCCAACATTGCTTTTATCAACATGGAAGGCGGCGGCGGAGTAAGACCAGCTGCTAAACCACAGCCAGCAGCGCCACCTAGTGGACCAGCTGCTCCACCGGCTAAAACCCCAGTTCAGACATTACCGGCTCAACCAGGTGGTACAAATACTCCAGTACAAACAACTGTCAAGCCGGCTGTTCCTTCTGCGACGACAAAACCACCATCTCCTGCCCCCGCTCCATCGAAATCTACCGGACAAATCACGCCTGTACCAGTCAACCCTACGCCGGCTTCAAAGCCAATCTCAACTCCTGGGCCTGGTACGGTGAAGCAGCTTGTCAATTTCTACGACAGTCAAGGAAAGGCTAGCCCTATCCGACCTTACAGCTACAGTCAAGCTGTAAAACAAGGTTGAATAGTAGTTTATAATTCTACTGGTCTCATTTTATTTTGCCAAAAAAAAAATCTATAATATTTTCCTAATAAAGCCTTTTGTTTCATTGTTAAAATTAAGGTATAGATACTTATTGAAAAAATCCTAATTATAATGCAAAATCAATTGCAATTCATAAGATGCTTCCTGTGTTGTGAATTTCCTCTTTTCGAAATCTTCAAATATCTATTATGAATGACCAGCGATTACAAAATTATACAGAATTTATTAATCAAGTTCATTAACGTTTCACATGCCCGAATGTAATGAGTTCACGCTTTCTTGATGTTAGTAATTATTTCGTTCACATAAACTCTCTTACGGTCAAAAAAAGGCAATTTGAAAATATTATTCATCGTGTGGACATTAAAGCTAACTGCTTAAAAGAGTACTGAGCTACTGTTACGTAACGTTGACAATTGAATAATGCACACGTTAAGTTCAATTAGAAAAGGAGTCAACGACCGTCATATCAGCCGGATATATCTAGAAGCGACATAAAAGGCGCATTAAGATGTAAACAATTGCAGCGGAGCCTATTTTCAGCCAGTGAAAGTGCGTGGACGGAATTTGCAGATCTCCTCGCCGCGCCGCTGTCGCCGGTTGGCCGTGTGCTGGGCGCGGCGAAATGCCATTTTGCTTAGTTGCCTGTACTGACAGTCACAGCTTTATTAATTTTTCGCAACAAAATAATTGCGGAGGCCTCTACTTTTTTTTATCTTCATTTTATTCAATTATTCTTTAGTACATTAAGTATATACCTATATAACAACATTCTCTATCAGACAAATTTTAGGATGATAAGGAGAGCACGAATGTGGTCTTAGGACTAAGGCATACATACAAATTTTATAGCACGGTATTCATATTATTTTAATATTTTATTTAGGAAGTGTTTCATTTTTTAAGATAAATATAAAAACAATTCTAAGGCAGTTGAGATAATTTTTAATTAAATAAATAATAAAAAAGTTTTATTGTAAATTTTATTCTATACAATATTAATTATAAAAAATAAGGATACAAACTAAGCAATATTTTTATATTATTAAATAGCCCATAAAACCATTTAAATAGTGAATAATAATCACTATTTAAATGGATTTATGGGCTATTTTATTAAGTATGGATAAATACCACAGTTACAACTTACATTTTTGTGTTTACCTAAGTAAATACAATTTGAAGTGAAAAATAAGATATTTTACTGAATTAGCTGTTAATTTGCGGACGTCCATATCACTGGTTATTTGATCAGATTTTTTTCATTTAATTCCGTTACTATTAGTATGTATGTGACTGTCAAGACTCGAAGATTGACCACCGCTATTAAGGAACATCTGGTAGTAAACTAATCAAATAACCAGTGAAAAATAAGAAACCTGATACTTTCATATTTCATCGCCTAAATATAGGTCAAATTTACGAGGTACTAAAATATGACTTTATAATAACTTAATCACCATTTTAACCACATAGAAATGACCCAAACCCGTTAATCAAGTAATTTATGGAACAGCTATTACCAGTTCGTTAATTTATAACAAAATTAAACTAACAAAAGTTTATTTTTTTCCAATTGCAAGTCACTGTATGACGCAACTTATAATTACTGCATCCTTTAATTATAAAGTACATTAAAACTTTGTCAAAAAATGGCCTCTGGATTAAATCTATTTTAAAATCGATTCAGAATTATTGAACAAATCATGTAAAGTATAGATAAAAAATGTCGAATTAGAAAGATCGTTCATTTTAAAATTAAAAATTACTGCATACCTAAGTATTATTATACAATTCTATGATGTTAATGCTAACTCCACAGATGTCAGACGAGCCAATATGAGGGATGTTAAATGAGCACACTAATAGGGCTGCACGAAACGTTCCACTTTCACCTTCGTCTGATTCATAGCGGCGGTTACGTCGCCAGGACCCCTTATTGTTATAAGTGTTACGAAGTTGTCCGCGACATATTGTGCAATACTTGGTCCGCATTACCAGCATTTATAATAACAAACAATGACTCATATGATCGGCACATTCTTTTGAGAATTAACATTTTTGTAACCCGTACAAAATACCTACCAACTTTATGTTGTTTATTATTGAAAAAGAAAGTTGTTTGAATATGTGGTTAAACACAGAGCAGTGGAGCCATCAACATAATTTATATCGAGGCGATTATAAGTGAGTACATGATGTAACAAGAACTTGAACTAAACTTGCTTTAATTATTAATATTTTAATAAACTGAAAGTAAAATTTATGTCTTAGAAATCGCACTTGTTTAATGTTTATAAATAGCAATAGAATGTATAAGGGTTTACGTTAAATTACTGTTTGAATTCCCCGAGGCTGTATATCTATATGTTTTTAATTTTTTGGTATTACACAGATAGAGTGGAGAAAGACTCTGTATACACTGTTTATACGCTGTTCTCCCCGTTTCACATTGCTTTCACCCGCAGTACTCTTGTAGACTCTGAAATGCACTAATAATGACCAAAGCATCTGTAAGCGAAAACTCAAGTCAAAAGAAAGTATGGATCGCGGTATTATATTTACTAACTTGTTAATTAAATGCTAATTAATTAGAAAAGGGCTATTATATTAACGTCATTTTGTATAATTAAATGAGTAATATCTTCTATTGACCACAGTAAAGTGCATTAACGTTGACACGTAACAGTACAATAAAATTATATAAATAAATGGCATTATTTTAGAGACTTTCACTGATAAAATTTAAGTTCATGTAAAATACACATGAATGTAGATTATTTGTTAATACTGAACTAAAATAAATAAATGCTATTTGCTTAACAATGGCACGCGAATAGTTCACACAGCCTTATGCTATGTTAGTATACATGTCTGTATAAATCATAGGGCTGTCATTTGTAGTTTTATTTTTCAAATTATTTTATAGTGTTAGCTATTGTTCTGTAAAAACATATCTAAGGCGATGCCGGAGATACAAAAAACTTCTCGATTAAAAATCGAGTTCTTACTTCTCTCATATTATTAAATTTCATATATGACAATAATATTTTACAGCAAATATTTTTAAAAAAATATGTATTATATCATTTATACTATATAATATACCCGTATATAAAGCTTTATTAAAAGTGTTGTAATTAAAATTTAAATATCGTCATTTTGTATAAAAAAATATTCTTGAGTTAATATTTTAATTACCAGTAAGTATCAGATATAAGATTAGAATCGAATAATATGATGAAAAACAAGTCTGTAAAATTAGATGGTGGTAAATGTTAGTGGTAGAGCTTAGTTTTAGAGACAATACCTTTTTTCTCGTAGATAACTCGTGTTTACAGTTTTGAGCAGATCCTACCATTTTAATTGTTTCTAATTGGAAAAAGCAATACTTGAATTATTTTTATGGTCTGTAAGGTAAAACAGGTAGTATATTTTTAATACAAGAGCGTTTTTTAATACAATTGCTAATTCTACGAATTAGCAATAAATAATCCATGTCATAGCTTATGCAGCCTAGACTGTAATGTAGTATGGTTCTATGATATCCAAGATATTGTTCATATCTATAGACAACTGTAACTGTCTTTTTATCAGAAGGGCCGTTCGCTTTTTATCATTACAAGTTTTTTTTAAATATATACCTCCCTAAGTAAAATTGTAGTATTGTTATGATGTTTTATGAAAAATCCACTATTTTACACTAAAACAAATATACCACTGTAAAAATATAGTTTTATTACATACGTTGCTAGAAAGTTTTGTACATTCCATTCTAGTATAAAATATAGTTGATTGTTTAATTAAAATGGCATCCCTATAACAAACAATAGGTTGCCAGTATCATGGTGTACAGCTAATCTGCACACAATATTAAGAGAATATTCTGTAGCTTCATACACGCATTCTTGTTCGGGCGAAAGTGGCATTACAGTTTGTATGTGAAAATGCAATTTCATGGAATAGAATGAACGATTATTTACCAAGTGAAATCCTAAATGTAACAAACGGCTGTTTATCTCAAAAACTGCTCGAACTTTGAAAATAAAAAATACAGTAACTACAATACAGCAACACAATATTATTTCGTGTACAAGAGAAAATGAAAGTAAAATTTTCAAAGCTGCGATAAAATCTAATTACATATTTTTGCATGAATGGTGGAATTACTATTAAGCTGAATTAAGTAGATGTGTTTTCAAAAATTACTACTTATCTAACTATATTTCAGTGACACTAAAATACAAACTAAAAATCTATCTTACTAAAATTTAATTGAAAATATAAAGACGATTTATAAAGACTGCGGTAAGAAATGGAATTTTCTTAAACATCAATTACGTCAGTTTAAGGCTTTTACTTTCCTCCCATTATATGAGTTTTGTATTTTGGTGCCTGATGTTATGAAATAACCAAGATCCGCCCTCATTCCGCTTATGTCCGCTTCGACGGCGCATTGAATCATCGGAACCGCCCGGTGCATTCTAATGGCTGCCTTGACGTAGGTATGTATTACACAACATAATAGTTTTAGGTAGGGGTCAATGGCGTAATTTCTAAACTCAAAATTGAGGAGTCGAGAGAACAACGTCGGTAATTATGGCTGTAACAATGCATATACTCATAAGATTTATGATTTTGATTTGTTATCTATAAAAACGATATTACATTTTTGGAATTTTTAGTTTAATGAAAAGTTGTTACCTATTATAATATATGTATACCTATATATAACAAAAATAGAAAAATCCTAAAAAAACCTATATATTAAAATTAAATAAGATTTGTAAGTTTATCAAAATTTTATTATGAAGTCTCGATTACTGATCGCATAGTGTAAGAATCATTAAAATTTTTTGATTCAATTGTATTACTAAAATAATGTACAGTCTAATTGTATAGCCTATTCTGAAACATTATTGCAAAAGTTGTAAAAGTAACTGTAATGCCTTAGCAACTTATAAAGGCATATATACAAACTGTTAATTCTGTTTTTGAAAATACAGTAGGTGTACAAAAAATGTATACCTGAATCACTACAGCAAATATTTCGAAACAAAGTTTAAACTACTTTATATAATATATTTTTTATTATAAACTATTTAGATATAAAGGGTACATATAGAACAAGTAATGTTCTTGCAATCTTTAGAAAAAGCCTTGATTTTCGTGGACAAATATACTAATATTTACAATATACAAGCAAGTACCCGTGATTTAGTATGCGTGATCAGAACATGTATACTGACTGGGATAAAGTAGTTTAATATCCTTCCCCGTCACATATAGTAAGTGTATATTAAATTTCAAACGAACACACTTTCACACTACCTTTTTACTTTTTACCAGAAAGAGACTTTGTACAAAAGTCGCTTGTTTGGGCACCTCTGTCCTATTCGGGTTTCTACCGGGAAGCAGTTGTGTTTGCAAACCTGTGTTTTGGTTTGAAGGGGTTGGATATGGCAGTGAATTTACAGGGCACAGAGGAATAACACCTAAGTCCTCAGGAATGGCAACGTATGGGAGGTATCATGAACGAAACAGTATACTCTGTTATGTCCATGATACTGCTCATGTCTATAGGCGACGATTACCACTTTCCATCAGGTGGGCCGTCAGCTTGCTAGGCATTCTAAATTGCATAAAAAAGGACAAACATTTATAATATTAGTATATCTCGGTATAAATACCTAAAGAATTCTATATAGTTGTCGATGAAATAGAACCTACTAGAAGAAGAATTTATACAAAAGTCATCTGCTTTGGTAGCACTGTCCCACTCGTATTTCTTCAGTTTAACATTGTGTAGTCATGCTTGCATGTCTCTGTTTTAGAAGAGGGGAATATGGCAGTGCAATTATAGAGCTCGGAGGCATATCTTACTCCTCAGGAATGTTAACGCTTGAGTGATACCATAGGCGTCACAGTGTATTTTATGTCTTGATACTGCTCATGCCTATAGGCCGTTAGATTG